TAATAAAGGTGATCTATAAATTTTGTATGGGTTGTTGTCCTAAACATTCCAAAAATTTCTCCACAAATCAATTCATCATCTTCAACATTATTCTGGGTTCTTCTCTGACTCCCAAAGACTCTAATACTTACTCACAAATTTTAAAGCTGGAAAGTGTTAGAGAGTTTTCACCCAAACCACTCTCCCTAAATAGAATAGTTTATCGTTGCTTCCTGGTATCTGACTACAGGTATTTTCATGTACTTTCCATGTCCATATGCGTAATCACTATCATGTTCAGAAATATGTGACTTATATTGAGATAAACTTTCCTCTAGTAACAACTCTTCCATTTCTGACTATCTACATATTTTCTGATACAAAAATATGAAGATTCAAGTTCCTCGTGATTCTTTTCTTCTGGCAATAACAATTGGCTAACTGTCTTAAACCTCTAAATCATCCAAGGCAGACTCTCCAATCTATCACCCCTGTTCCTGAATTGTAGTTCCCAGAACTTCAAAGTCAGACTGTATCTATCAAACATAGATTGATATTCTTTATGTCTATGATTTGGAAATGTTTCTAAAGAAAAAAGAAAAGAAGGCCCATTTTAAGAAATTTCTTTAGAAAGAAATCTATTCTCATTATCTTTACAAGTATTTTTGCTTCAAGATATATCCTTTCACTTCCACTTGTCCTTAGTGCACATTCCTAGCTTGATGCACTTACTCAGAATTAAGAAGCAGTAGTGGGATGTGACCAGTGCAAAGGAAGTTGGCTCTTCACTGGTCTGAGCTGTGAAAATTTGTGTTTTGTTCATAATCTCCCCTGTTGACCAGGATTTCATCAGTTTCTGGGAAGTCCTGAGAGATACTGTTTACTCTGAATGGCAAACAATGATGACTGGAGAATTACTCACCATTTCTCAGGACTATCTTCTTGCTCAACCCCAATGGGACCTGATTCAACTCTTAGTTTCCCCCAACATGCAGTTTGAAGGAGTTTCTTTCATCAAATAAAGCAATAGTGTCTCTTACAGTACCAAATATTGGAATTCATCATGTTTTCACATGTGGGACAGTAAAATAGTCACCAAAGAAAGGAAAATTGCATAGAATGGGGCTTCATTTAATGCCTGAACAAATTGCGTAGATTTATCTTACCCTTTTTCAGGAAAGGGAAACCATATAAACAATTGTCTTTTCTTATGGTTACTCTTAATCATTCCATGCAAATCCAGAGGATTTCCAGAAAGTATGTGTTTGGAAGAGGATAGAGAGATTAGGGCAATAGTAAGACAAGAATGACAAGAAGAGAAAGGAAATCAACTTATAACAGTTTATTCATTGCCTTATTAAAAAGATGGGGGGGGGAGAACAGTTATTCCTATAGAAGGCCATTATAGACTTTTCCACCAATTCCATAATACTCTGGTGGCATAGTGCTTAAGGCACTTGACTGCTAACCAGAAGGCTGGGGATTCAAACCCACCAGCCACTCCTCAGAAGGAAGGTTAGGCAATCTACTTCCATAGTGATACCGCCTCAGAAACCCAAGGAAGGGTCACTATGAATCGGGTCCAACTTGACTGCACATAACAACAACAACAACAACAAAATGAATTGCCTTAATTTTAAATAAGTTTAATTTATATTGTATCCTAAGTTCTTTTCTACTCCTTAATATTTTCAATGTGTAACTTTTATGAAAATACATATGTTTTTGGTTTTCACTTGTTCATTTAAAAAATAAATCAATAAAAATAAAATAAAGATCCATAATCCCACCCAAAATCAAATATTATTAATCTTTTGGCACACTATGTTTTAGCAGTTTTCACTTGTTACTTAGGAAAATCATAGTTACATTTGATGTATACTTTATTTACTTGATACTGTTTTATAATCATTTCTGTAATATATTAAAATTATTCAAAATATTTTCAGTAATGATGTAATAAAAACAGTTTAAAGAATATATTTCTGTCATATATAACACCCTAATGAGTTTTATGGGAGCTCTGGTAGCATAGTGGCTAAGGCACTTGACTGCTAACTAGAAGGCTAGCGGTTCAAACCCACCAGCCACTCCTTGGAAGGAAGATGGGGCAATCTACTTCCATAGTGATACTGCCTCAGAAACCCAAGGAGGGGTCTCTATGAGTTGGGTCCGACTCGACAGCATGTAACAACAGCAACAATGAGGTTAACATTTATAACATTCTGTTATTGTCATTTCAGTTTAAAGGAATTCCATAATGATATTTATACATAGAATTTACCCTTGAATATTAAAGCTAGAGCTCTATCTTTATTATTCTTTTTTTTCATTTATTGCCTTATCTTAAATTCCAACCAAATCTATCAAAACAGATTAATCCTAATAAATATTTGTTAAAAGAATAGAACATATTATAGTATATTATTTCTATGGACTAAAAAGTACTACACCTAGCATGTTAAACTAACTTGTTCACTAAATACTATAGAATGGATACAGTCACATATATTTTTTTCAAATGCAGTATAAAATAAACTCCTCAGAAGGAAGTTTGGACCATCTACTTCCATAATGATACTGTCTCAGAACCCAAGGAGGTGTTGCTATGTGTCGGGTCTGACTCAACAGCACATAACAACAATAACAACATAAAATAAATGGATACATTAAAAAAAAAACAAGCATAATTCCTGAAAATCCATATCACCAGCCACATTTTTTATGAAAGAAGTATCATCAATTCAACTTATTTGCACTTTGTATTCCACACCAATACTATTTCTAACACATTTCCAGAGACAATAGATACCTTGAGTCCTGAAGATTATTAAAAGAAAGAATACTGGTTACTAATGGCGGGTAGAAATAGAAGGTAGAAAGTGAAGGAGAATTTCTGAGTTATTGGGAATGTTCTCTTTTTTGATCTGGACACTGTTATTTTTCTAATTTTAT